TTCCATTTCAACCTGGCGAACGAGAACGCGAATGCGAACGCCCGCTACCATTAAAAGCGGCAGCACTCGACACTGCATCTTACATAATCAATAGAAACAACAACTACAGAACAACAATTTGCCTTTGGGATTTTGATTTTTGGGTTACGTAAAAGAGAAAAGCTTTTGACCATAACGACAACGGCAACGACACCGAACAATCACAATAAGAACCACCGCTAAAATCAGCTGATTTTAGGTGGCTTTTAGGCGAAACATTAAGGGGGCTTGTCGACATACGAAGCACGACGATAGAGTAGAGTTTAGGGTGTGGGATGTGGGAATTTTTTGCATATACGAATACGCGATTCTTATCGTAGTTTAGTCGTATTGGTTTAATTGTATTGGTTTAATTTTTGCGTTGGATAAGCTTTCATTCCCTACATTGTACTTGTTGTTGCTTTTGTTTTAGTCATACATGAACGTTTTCACGTATATATGCTATTAACATCATTTAACTAACAACAACAACAACAACAACGACGACGAAAATCCATTTGTACGGAAGACGACGACAACAACGTTTAACAGATATTGACCTTGAGGAGCTTTCGTCAAACTGACTTTAATGACAAAACACTATTGCTGTACTTTTAACGTATGCAAATGTTATATACTTACTATATATGAACGATTACATATATATTTAAATGTTGAAAAATATGTTTTAATTTAAAATAAAGAAAGCTGTCGGTAGTCAAAAATCAAAATATTTTTAAAGCTCCCTTTAAAGCACGTTCGTATGAAATACTAAGAGGATGTATGTCAATAATTTCGTTTCGAAAGATTTATATGTTAAAGCAATACACTTTTCAGTTGCTATTCTACAGATATTCTTTAACTGTTTTTCTTATTTTTAATAAACAAAAGTTAGTAAGCAATTATGGTAACTAATACTAGATTAGCATACTTCTATGAACTCTTCAACATAGCTTCATAAGATCCATATACTCTAAAGAACTTTACAATAAATAAGAAAAAGACTAACAGTAATAGTTTTAAACTCTCTTGATTTCTCATTTAGCACTTGTAGTTAAAAATGCAAATCACTTAAAAGACAAATTATTAGAAGATTAAATCTAAAAACCGCAAATGAAGAGTACATTGGTTTTGTATGGTAATAAGCACTATATAAGTCAATAGTTTAAATTTAGTAGGGTTCAATTTCTGAACCTTAAAGTCTAACATTTACATAAGGATAATTAAACCAAAATATGTTTTTAAACACTGCTTATAGTGGAAAGATAACTGGCGATATCCAAAACAGCTTTATGGTCAGGTGAGCCAACCCAAGAAGTAACTTGATAAATATTTCTTGATTTGAAAATTTCCTCGTTATTATCAGCTTTATTATTCAAAATGGATTTTTGTGTCATAGGGAAAAACCAATCTTTAAGTAGAGAATTTATGTGATCTTTTAATCTTTAAAAACATCTCTCACTATATTTACATATCCCATTTTAAACATAGGCTACATTAAGATCTTTATGTATGATTCCAGGAATCGAACATGCAGCTCAACTAATATATATTATACCCGCTATATTAAAATTTGAACAGATCATGTCAACTGTTACCAACAATATTAGGAATTCTCCTGATGAAGACAAAAGCGAATTTGCCGAAATACGTATAGAAATATACTAAAAATAACGATCGAAATAAAGGTTAAAATTCTTAAAAAAACAAACCCGAGATTGTTATCAACAATTATATACATACAGTGCAATCTAAACTTTGCGAGGTAGAGTCTATAGAGACGATGTTGATATAGTTTTATTTGAAAGAACCCATTCGATAATTACACCAATAAAAGGATTTCTTATGACTTAGCCGTCAAACACTGTACTTCTATCTTTCTACATAACTCTTTAAAATTGTTATAGCAAAATAAGGGTGACTAAATAACACTTCTATCGATTTTTTTATTGCTTCAATATTTTAAAGAGAACAAAAATGAACTTCATGAAATTATAACTAGAAATCAATTAGGGAAACCATAATTCTCTTTATATTATTTCCAAACAAACAAATTTACTGTTTATATATTAATAGGTTGTATTAGTAAAATATAAATCAAAAATAATGTACATTGGTATACTTCATGAGCAGTGCGTGTTGTAAACAATATAATACCACAAATAATAAATTATTTCTTGGGTATTCACACCTGACATCTGCAATTAACTTCAGAAAATCAATGAGACATTTGTTAGTTTTCTATTATTTAATTATGTTATCCTGAAATTGATTTTATTTAATAAACTTTTTGTAATTTATTTGCTATAAGTAGATTTATACATTACTTGTATTTTCGTTTCAACTGTGAAACCTATTAAATATTAAAAAAGCAGGCATAAAAAATAAAAAGGGGAGATTCATATCTTATTTCGTTGTTTTTCAAGAAACAATCATTTTTGAATTATTTAAAAAATATATTTTTAGTTTTATACACATATACCTAAGCAAATCCCCATGCGATGACATTTTTGTTCTATTAATCCCACATTCTACTGCATTGTATATGGACACATGCTCATATCTACACATTTCCAAACGCATACAAATGTTTAAATTAAAACAAATTTAAAATTAATAAAATGGAGCATTTTTCTGTTTTTAATAAATTTATATAAAACACACTTCCACGACTTCATCAAGTCACCAGATCTTGATGTGCATACTAGATTTTTATAGCTAATTTGTAACAAAAACTAGAAAATTTTTTTTTGTATATTTTTTGGGTTATGGAAAAACAGATTGTTTATTTATTTATATGCTATAATAATAAAATAATAATAAATTTTATTTATTTTATTCGTTTTGAAGTAATTAGATATTCTTTTTATTACACAATTTTTTCAGTAATAATAACCTCAGCTAAAAAACTTAATTAAAATTAAGTCGAACTATATATAATCGATTGGAACAAAGCTTGTTCAACCTTGTCTCTATACATTATATAGAGAAAGAGAAGAGAATTTATATTATATAATCTCTTGTAATATTCAAAAATGAAAAAGACTCGTAAATTTTAAAATCTAATCAGTCTATAACTTTCTAAAGAATAATAATTTACAGATTAAAACTAGAAAACCTATTATTTTTCATTTACTAGACAGTATAAAATCGCTCTTTTAATGCGTCTCAATGTAAAAGATATAATGTTAATTGAAAATACAATCTATCGTGGAAGATTTCAAATCATATTTCTTAGTAAAATCGTCAACAGCAAGAGATAAAATAATAGATAAGATACACAATAGAAAATGTATAATATTCTACCAAAAAATGAGAGATCTTTTTGAGATTGGTAAAAATTTTACAAATTCTTTCAATCTGACAGCTCTTGATCTCAACAAATTTTCTTATAAGGCAAAAACCTTACTTCAAATAAGGACATCGAAAATGATTTCGATTAGAGTTTGGCCAAGATAAAAATTAAGTTTAATGAAATTGTTCTCCTAACAAAAAAATTTGAAGAATAAATTAAATCGAAACGGAGAATATATAGAAAATTCAATATTTTATTTTTACACTAAAAGAAACTGTCTTTCCTTAATTTTTATTTTCATCAAAAAGAAAAACAAAACAAAAAAGAACTAAATAATTTTTTAAATCGAAATATTTAAAAATGTTTTAATATGTAATCAATACCAAAAATAAAGAATTCAATAATATGTTCTGGGTTTCGAGTAGATCTGTAAACTCTGTTGCGTCAACAAAAAGAAGTACAGAATCTACTTTACAGAGTTTTATTGCCTCTTCCGTAAGAATATACATTCCTAGAAATAATATGTTTAAAGGTTTCGACATCTTCGGGGGAACGCATTCAAACATTTCTACATATTTCGCTGGTTACTCATTTATAAAAGTTCTTATTTTGAATTTATTTTGTAAATATGTGTATATGTTATTCTTAGGATTGCAAGTCAAAAAGGTGCCAACCGAAAAATATTCTTTCACTTGCATACGCAAATTAGAAAAATTAAAGATAAACTTTGAAGAATATTAGAAAATTTTATTTATTATTTTAATAATAAAAGATTTTGCCAAGCATAAATTCGTTCTTTCTTTGATAAAATGCCAAAATTTTGCTTAACGAACGAACAAGTGGCGTTTCCTTTCATTCTTTAGCTCTTCTAAATACAAAACAGTTTTGGCAGAAACTGGCAGGAAATTTAAAGATCTATTTAAAAAATAACCAAATTATACCAAACAAATATTAGATAAATATATTTAAAAATATGTTTAAAACTTATGCCAAACTTTTGCCTCAGCATTTTCGAAGTAAAAACAACATGAACGGGCGAAGTTGGGTAAAAATGGTGGGCAACCTGTAAATTGCAGTCTTCCCTTCTCACACCAAAATATATAAAATTTTCCACCAAAAGAATTGGTTTAAATTCGTATTGCGTAAATCTTTGAGATGAATTCTGATTTTGTCAACGCTGAAGTGCGTTTGCTGCATTGAATCTGTGGGACGTGTCGAGTGCTGGTATATATTTAGACTGACTGCTGGTAAAAATGGCTCCCCTGGTGACAATACATATATTATAGTTATTTTAAATTTAAATTTTTTCAGTTTCTTGAACTCTAGCGTTAGTGTATTGCTACGATCGCACAAAATCATTGGGCACGAGTGGTTAAATTCAAATAAAAACGTAAGATTTTGCACATAACACGAAAGTTAAGAGCGAAATCGTCTATGCAATTTTGGCATGTGGGTGCAGCAGTGCATTCTTGAGGTTAATGATCTCGAAACAAAATACAATTTTCCTTATTTACAAAAGAAAAACAAAAAAATTACTATATAAATAAATAGTTAAATAGTTATTCTAGTTAAATATAAAGTAAAATACAATTATTATTTTCTTATAAACTTAAATCCAAAGTATATAAAGTGAGAACTAAAATATATAGAATAAAATAAAATAATATGATAACATCATAATTCTTACCTTTTTGCCGATAACAGTTCACTGGTTTTGGGTGTAGGTACTTTGGACTCTTTAACCAAGAAATCGTTTGTAGCATCTTTAAGATTGGCTTTCAAAATTTCATTACTTTCAAATGGAATTGTGGCTTCAAATAGTTTTGGAACCGGCGGTGACTTTACACCGTTAAAAGCATTACTTTCATTATTATTCTTTGTGGTATCAACGCTTGGTTTCTCATCTTTTATGGAAATTGTAGATTTAGTTGGTAATGGAACAGCTGGTACTGGTTTAGATGGTTGTTTTATTTCAACTTGCTTAACAGTTGGCGAGGATGGAGTAATAATTGTCTTTACAGGGTCTGGTACAGCTGGCTTAACTTCTTGTTTTAACTCCGGATCAGGTTTAAGTTCTGTTTTAGTTCCTAGTTTTTGAGGTGTCATTGCTGGCTTTTTAGCAGAACATTCACCACCGGACAATAATGGGGTTCCATTGCTCGGTATTGGCTGCTGAGGTTTCTGCTTTGGAACAGGCATTGTTTTTGTCGTCTCTTCGTCTCTTGCGTCTGTTGTTATCGATTTCGATGTAGCAGTGGATTTATTTTCTAAGGCAGGCTTTCCACTATTAGTGCTAAATAAACCAAAAAATGTCCAACCAAAACGTTTTCTACACATTCAAATTAAATAAAAAAAAAATAAGAAATTATAAGTGAAAAAATAATATTTTAATATATAAAAAAAATTGTATAAACAAAAAATAATAATAAAATAATTCACAAGCAAAATGTGTCCACAAGTGTTGCACCAACAATTCATTATTAAAAAATATATTAATTTATTAACTTTAGGTACACTTGAATTATAAACTTGTCATACGGCGTCACATATAATTATTTAATTTAAAATTTTATTATTTGTCAAACCAAAACAAACTTTTGCTTAAATGTTTTTAATGCACAACTACAATTAATTGGTAGTAAAATCAATTAATTGGTGATTGACCATTATTTATTTTGCACTCCTTTAAAATAACACATCCCACATAAAATGGTAAACACAAATTCTACTAACTTTCTATTTATATAAATATCCAAAAGTTTTATTTTAAATCACGAAACGACCCAAGCTATGAACGCAGTAAAGCCGAAAAAAAAAGAAAGAACAGTTATTCAGAAAGTTAATACTTAACGAAAAATTAAGGATTCGTCAAAATGAATTGTTCGGAATTTGAGACAGATGCCTTCACTGCTGATATATACACCCATTTATTATTCAAAATAATTTACCCCATATTTTTAACAGAGGACAATGATGTTATATCATTCAAGGCTGAAAGTTCGTTTATATCAGAAAAAGCAAATTATATATTCGAGTCATATAAATTTGCGGCATTGTGGTGTGTACTGATGAGATAAAATCTCTTGCACTTAAGTGTTTAGACTTACCAATTTTGGTAGACAGTAGAATATATATATATAAGAGATATATGGGTCTTAAATCCCCAAAAATAATTCGGACAATTTTATTCCAGATTGGATGAATTTTTCTTAATTAAATGTTTCTGTATGAACTTTGTATAAGTTTTTAAAAAAATCCTCCTTAAATTCGTTTCTGTATAGGAATATGCTTTTTTTTCGTAAATATACTTTTTGATTTTCAAACAACGACCAAACTATTAAATAATTTACTACTTTATAGGGAAAAAAAATCACACATCATGTGGGTGATGATGAACTTTTTAGCACAAGAATTCAAAATGTGTTAAAGCTTGTAGTTAGTTGATAACTGTAAAAAATTAAAGCCTAAAATTACTGTTATGGCGTTTAAGGTCCGTTTAAAAGAGATGTAACATAACTTTTAAATACTGCCATAAACCGGAACAACTATTATATATTTTAACTGTTTAACTTTGTTGCAATGGCGTGTTAAAATTGGGGAATGTTATAGTATACAATAGTTAGCGACTTTAGTTATCATATTTTTTAAAAAAATATAGTCATAAACTTAGTTTTAATAAGAATATTAAAATAATAATTAAATAATTATATCTGGGTAAATCAGTTCATCATCTAATGCCATAATTTTGTCTAATTCATGTCTAATTTAAAATTTTCACATTGCCAAATATTGGCACATCTGTAAAATTTGCAAATGGAAATAAAAATATAATATATTATTTGCTTTATCTATTATACTGTAGTTGTAGGTAATTAGTGTTAGAATGCGGGCAAGTTGCCAATTCAAAATGAAAACATTGTGTGTGTAAGTAATCGGAAAAGTTTTTGATTATAATATAATAAAAAGATATATAAAATCACAGCTTAGTTACTAATGTTATTTATATGCATTCTATCAGACAAGAAATATAGAGTCGATTTAAATCTTATCAAGTAAAAGCCAAAACCCAAAAAGACGACTACTTCTGCTGTACCCCGCACTTATTTCACATTCGCGCTGATAATAACGATAAATCAAATTGTAAAGGTGCAAATTATTAAATAACAACAAAAATTTTAAATTAAAATTCGATGAAAGTGTTAAACATGTGAGTTGCCGATTTTCTCTATTATCACCATTTAAACAACAACAACAACAGCAGCAAAAAGCAAATATAAAACAAAAACTTTTTGCAAACTTTTATTAGTTTTGTTTTATTTTTATTTTTTGTTCTTATTTGTCACATGATTTTAAACAATTTAACGACGATTTCGTCAAAAAATGTTTGCTGAGCAAAATAAACGTTCAACATTTTATTGCCTTCGAATGCACAGCCGCCCCCCTTAGCCCACTGGAAAGGCTTTATTTATATGTGGATGGGTTGGTGCGATTGCATTGCCATTAAATGTTATTAATCGCTTCATTGCCCATATCTATTTTATATAAACTAACCTTGTCCAAGTACTTCATGTAATGGGCATGTCAAATCTGTTTGTGCATCAAAAAAATCTGATTATGCCTTTTTTCTCATCGCTATATCTTCTATTCAAACAGAAAATGTGTACGTGACTCGTTTTACTGAGCTTGCAAATTTGTTGCTAATTTGTTTTAGTTTATGTTTGTCTTTTTATTAACTTTATGGCCACATTTTGTAAGTATTTTTGTTGCAAATGAAAACAAAAGTTTTTAAATAAAATTATTGTATTATAGTGCGCTTTAAAATTATTCGAAGGAATAATACGTCAAAGGTTATGTAGGTAACGGTTTAAATAAATCTACATGTAAAATGAACTCCTGATATGTTTAGAAATGAATAATATGAATAATTTATATTATATTCATCTGAAAATATTATCTACAATTTATAATTAATGACCGATTACAGACATAATAGATTATATTTCTGTTTAAATTAAGTAAGTACATAGATAAGTTTCGAATTTAGAGACTAACATACTAATATATATTTCTTTATACAATATTTAATGAATTAATATTATTAATTCAAAACTTAAAAACAAAGATATTTAAACCAATGAATAAATAATTATAGGATATCAACATATCAATTTTAATAATAATATATATAAATCAAATATTGATTGCTCTATTGAGATTATAGGATATATTATTCACATATTTAAATATAAAATCTTTAGAACAATTGTAGAACAATTGTTTATTATCAGCAAAAATTTTAAAAGATTTCCTTAATTTTTTTTCAGCAAAATTTTATATTTCACTTTAATTTTAGTTTTTATAAATAAATATACTTTGTCGCTTGTTCTTCTTTTGTTATAATTAATAGTTTATAATACTAATAATATTATAATAAAATAAAAAGTAAATAATTTAAAAAAAAATTTTTTTTGATTAAATGTTTAACATAACTGAGCTGAATCGCAGCTAACAATTATTATCGCCCCTAAAAGTATACAAAATTTTTTAATTGACCCGAAATGTATAGTGTAGAGACCGTAAAAATATATATAAGAGAAAGATCGTATATTTCTTAATTATTTCAAAAAGAATAATTTAAAAAAATTAGCGCTCACAGGATATCTCGCTCACTTAATGAATTAGTCGAAAGCGGACTACTATATCATATAGCTTCTATATAAACCAAACAATCGGATATAAGTTTTCTCCCAATAGAGATATTCAATAGAGATATTCAAATAAAATTTGGTACAGTATTTGCTCCCATTCATATGAAGGAATATATAAAATTATATTTGTATAGATTTGATTTTAGATATAGACTACTGTGAAAGCTGCTGATTTAGTTTGTCAGAAAATGAATATACATTACATTTAGAACTTAAGTATAATTTATAAAATCCATGAATTTAGAGTTGTGTCTCTTTTGAAGAGGGTGTGCGATATATACTCCATGGAATGTACAACCTCTCTTTCAAATGATTCAAAGAATCTTGACGCCCTTAAAATATACATTTATATACTTATATGACTCAGTGTCACAATCTAGCCGATATATTAAAGCAAAGAACTTTTACAATCTTGAAAAAAATTTTTTTGCTGTGCAACCCAGTTGACAAATAAATATATTTTTTTAATTTTTAAAGAAAAAATAAAATATACAAAAATGATCACACTTTTCTGATAAAAACATTGACATGTCAAATGGTGCGCATATTATAAATGTTAGCAAAAGTATTGCTTATTCGATGACAAAAACAGAGTAATAACCATTACAAGTGTTTGTGCAAAACATGATAACAACTTCATATATATATATTTTTTGGTATGAATTTTCAAATGATATAGCGAATATTCTCAGATTAGGAATATTATGGTATGAAAAAGATATAAAGATATGATATGTAGATATAATAAACCCAAACTTACCGATATTCATCGATAGCCATAGATAAGTACCACAAGGCAAACATTGTTGATGCTGAAATAAACAGAGGAATAACATTTATAAATAAACTCAATACTTATTTATTTTATTATCTACATTTCCTTAATATTATATATTGCTAAATCTATTAATGCCAATCCACCAACACATGAGGGAACTACTATTGTTCATGTTCGTGTGCTAAATGCTCCGGACTTCTGTCTTAAGGATGCTCCTTTTGAAGTGGTGCATATACAGTATATCATATAATAGATCATTATTTGTACTGAAGTAAGCTTTAGGGCACAAGGGTACTGGTCCAACCTAACTTAACCAAATTATAACCAAATATATTGTATAAATATATTATATAGTTCCCAATATATGTAGAGATCGCAATGTAGATATCAGAGAAACCACTATGCTTTTGACTTTTATTGACTACTGGAATAGACTTCTAGTACTAATAAACATAACACACAGACCAGGAATTGAATTCTACTATATTATCATATTATAATGTGTAAACTTACACATCTATCAATCTAAATCGTATTTGAAATCCGTTACTATATAGTAGAAAACACACACACAATAGACCACAAAAAATTTGGGATCTACCCAAGTACTCTTATTTTTGACTCACAAAAGGTTGTAAATAATGTTTGCTGTAATTAATTCTATTAGAACTAATTATAACATATATAACGAGCAAATTATTTTTTTCTTATAATTATAAACCTAATGCACATGCATCACCCTGTACATATTTCAGAGAACAAATTTATGGGTCTTACGTAAGTCAATATTAAAAACTATTTCTAAAACATTCGCTGCATTTCAGATTTGCAAATTTTGCACAA